CATGCATTTATTTCTAATGTGTTCAGTTTGCTCAAAAGCTTGATTTAACGAATGCATATAAAAATGCATTTGATTGCGGTAATTAATAGATTTACGAAGGAAATATTGGGTCTGTTATTAATTTAATAATAGAAAATATTTTTTTTATTGAATCTCTCTATAACTTAATCATTTCCGGGAATAATTTTCCTCTTCAATTTGAAATAAATTGAATTAAAATAATGTGATTTAAAATATAATATATTTAATTCAATATATAAAGATTATTTTTAGGCAATTTAATTAGACTTAGCTCGGAATTATTTTGTTCAACATTTAGAAACATATTTACAATTTAATATTTTGCATATCTTCTGATCTACCATTAAGTGATTAATTGTGAAGTTACTGTGATTCAGAATTTACATGTCTTCTAAATATGTATTTACATAAAAAAATATAGTAGAATAAGCTTTTGAATCACAGTGTGCGCAAAAATTGTCTATGTAAATATTGTTACGCGGTATCGTCAACAAATATTTGAGCGAAAATACAGTCAAATGAATATAATTTATAAAAACCCATATTTTTTTTGTAAGTTTTCCAATTTTTGCCTTTCAGTGAACAAAGTGTTACTTTTTCATCAACTCTCTGAATATATTTTTGATACAAAAATTGCAAAATTTACGTGAGCCATCCGTATACAATATTTTATAAATATTATTTCTGTTTAAATCTAGAAATTCAAATATATGTATAGCCGGGCATAGAATAAATGTTCCAAAATCGCTGATAGAAAAAAGATCAATTTAAAATTTTTCTCAGTGAAAATATATTTGATTATTTTAAGAATAAGATCGATTATTTTATTAGTGATAAGCATATTAGATCCTTTGTAACAAAGGATCGAAATTTCCGGAATTAATTTTAATTCTTTTATCTAGAATCAATTTAAAATAGTTAATAACATAAAATTATTTTTTAAAACTAAATTATTTCTTTAAACTTTAATTGGTCACGTGAGATCGCCGCGATTCCAAGTTATTTTATTTAACGACATATTTTCGCGCGATAAATTAAAGATTAAATATTCATAGGATAATTGGATGAAACGAATAATCAGTATGAGAAGCGTGTTATCAATTGTTTATGAAAAGATTCGTTATCAATATCTGCGATAATCGAGTTGCAGTTGTTGCTGTGATTTAATATTTCATACCGACGTCAATCACATACAGTTCCCCTCATTATAAATTTACATAGTAATTTCCAGGGAATTCCAATGGGAATTTCAGTGCATTCTTCAAAGCTCGTGAATATCCATGTCCCGATTGATATTAGGAAGAAATAAAGAGAAATTCTGCGCTCGACTTCATAAATTCTATATCTCTTTCTCTTCCTTTCTTCAAAAGACACTTCACTTCGTAGTTGCTTGAACATAGTCTCAAGTGAAAATGAATTGACGATGCGCTAAAAACATGCTCATTAATCTCAATGGCTCGTTTGTCAGCCAACAAGCAACTCATTACATACATTTTAATCTAAAAAATATATTTCATGTAAATTGCGAGTTAAATTTAATCGAATTGAAAAAATTAAATGACAAACTCATTTACAGCACCGCGGAGATACATGTACCGAATATTATTTAATTTAATTTATAAAAAAATTTATATCTATATATATATAGAGAGAGAGAGAGGCATAGGTTATATTATATATACATATGTGTACACAATGACATAGGCGCGCGTATGCGTGTAATTTAATCGCACATATGTTTTAGATGGGATTTATGAAGAGATACTCTGTGCCGTGTTTTTGAACGACAATTATGACAGAACGCTTTAGTTACTCAAAGAAACACTTCGCATGATTTTAATAATCTAACGCAGTTCTACACATCTGATTACTCGAAAAAATGTATCAATGTAGTCTGGCGTTCTCATTATCGCGCAGATATTTTTTGCTAATTAAAGCCATCGACAAATGTCGCAGCGCAATGTAATACAATCGGGATAACGCGATTCCATTGTACGTATAAATATTTAGTATCGATCAGATTGTGATGCGGTACGTGCGGCAGGTTCTCACACCTACCCGCTTTTCATCTCTCATCGTTCACATTCGCTTTTGTACTTAGAAGACGATTAAAAAGCGACCGTTCCCATCCGCAAATGATATGCCAAGCTGTGTCGATTATACCCCTACCATTAATACCTTTTTTTTTCTTTCCTTTGCTTTTGTTTGTGTCGCGTGCATTATATCCCCTCTTGCGTCATTGCCAGTGCATCCCCGTCGCTGCATAGCGAACAATGGTATGGACGTTTGATATTTGCACGCCAAGGGAAATTCGTAATTTCAAATATCGCCCACGCGCCACAGATGCTCACCTCGTTGGGCTGGCTATCAGCGCGACAGGGACAGACGAAGGGTGAAATTTTGCAAAATTGAGTTCGCTGTTTTCGTGAATGGTACCCGTAATCTCCTAACGAGGTGAAATCGCAATTCGTCGTCATAATGTTTGGCGCGGAAACTTTGACATTGTTAAAATTTATATTACGAAAATAACAGGTATTCGTTTATCCTCCCTCGCTTTGAGATATAAGAGACACTTTTTGTTATTGGATTCCTACAAAGCTTTATTGAAACATGTGTATCTTGAAACTTTTAAATCGATGAACAAATAAAATTAGAAACATCAAAGCCAGAATTAAAATTTACAACTAGGATGAATTAAATTTCTATCCATTCAATTTGTTTACATTGTAAAAATGTGTTAATTTTGAGTAGGTGACATTCTATACATGTCAAAACGCTATACAGATGCTATGAAACTTTGTCGAAACACGTATCTCAAAACTAATTAATCAAAAGAAATTAATGAGAAAGATTCAAAAAATCGGAATTAAAATTTATACTAGGATGAATTAAATTTATATACATTCTCAATTGATATTTATACATCGCAAACAGAATGTATGAATTTTGTATACATTTTATACAAAACTATTAAAACGTTATAGATATAGATGTTATAAATGGGATAAAATTAGATCGAGCTACAAATAAATGCGCTTACTCAGGAAGAAAGAATTTTCAACCGATGTCCTCCTCACCACGTCGAAATAAAAAAAACATAGCTCAAAATTAGAAGCTATTTGTGAGCTTTCAAACGCTACAAAAAAAATTTGTAGCTCGTTGCGGAGGGATTAGCAAGAGACTTATTATGGGGGGGGGGGGGCTGAATGGACTGATAGCCTCAGATTTAGGAGTCATTTATGAATTCTTAAAAAAATGTTCTTTCAAGTTTTGAGCTCCATTCCTTATCTTTAATCCCCTTATCTTTAACAATAATTTAAACATGGCTTTAACATTTGAATTTGGCGTTGTGATCTCAACGCATTATGTCGTCAGCTACGCGTGGTGTAGGTATGCGCATGCTGAAAGCTCAAAAGTAATCAGAATAAGGTAATATTGAAATTTATGCGGCTCATAGTATTCGCAGTAATAAGGATAGACACGAGTTTCGTGTTTTTCCTAGTATTGCGACGTGCAATAAAAAAGTACTACTCTTTGGCTGGTTAGTCATGTTTTCTTCCATCTTCTCTCTTACGCGTACTTGCGAAAATTACTTTGATTAAAAATAAAAAGTACAGTTTCTAATACGCGCGCGAAATAATTATTGCGTTAATTAATAATCATTTTAACTGTAATGGTACACATATATACATATGAAAGTATTCGCGATTTTCATCCGCATTCCGTTAAGTGAGTAGTTAATGATAATGAGATAATATCATTAGTAGGACAGACCTTTATATACGTATTAAGCAGACGACAGACGCGCTATGCGAGTTGTAGGGGAACATGGTGTTCCTTTGACCGGTTGTAGCTTTAACCATTTGAATTTATAAAAAATCTATTGGATATTTTTAAAAGTAAAAATATGTAGTTTGTAATACGAGTACCAGAGATGTTTTATAACTTATAATTATAACAATGAATAGAATTATACTCCTGTGAAAAATCATTTATTGTTTTCATTGCGTTCGAATGAAGTAATTTCAAGAGGTTTTCTATCTCATAAAATGTTGTATATGTATTTTGTCTTATGTTGGAATTGTCTAAAATGTTAAATAGATATTCAGAAAATATTACTTAAAACTTAATACTGTCAATTTTAACCTATAATTTATAAAAGTATTATAATAACAAAAAGAAAGTGAGCAAGCGTTATACCTTTAACCAGTAACTAATATTGTACCTTTGACCAGTCAATACGATGTCGGATAATTATTTAGTTTAGCTATCTCATCTTCAATATTAATAAAATTATGTTCATTAGCGATTTTGAATGAAACGAACGAAGGACACTATTTCTGTCAGATCAATCGTTTCGTGCAAAAACGAAAATCGCGTCTTTGTATGGCAAAGTTTATTTTTATATATTTTATATATAAAGTTATATATGGTGTAAGAAGACATTAAAAAAAATATAAAAATATAAAAATATAAATAAAATTAAACTTTTGTTGAATATTCTATCTTTATATACACATTTTATACGTTGGTTAAATGTACAACATTCCCTCAGAGGTACAACATGGGTGTTGTACCTTTCAACAAAATTCAATTTTTTTTCTATTGTAAAACAAGATATACAAAACATAACAATTTAAATCTATAAAAAATATATGTTACTATCAACACTTCAAAGAATATTTTAGAATTTTTTTGAATTTTTAGACATCAAAATACAACTTGCACAAGAAAAAATGTTCAAAATTGATCAAAGGTACACCACCTTCCCCTATTTATCTCGTAATACAACTTATACAACTCGTTATAGCACTCTATTGCAATTATCTTCTTGTATCTGGAAGTAGAAACACTTACTCGCGGTGAAAGAAATCAAAAACGTGCAGACACTGGAAATTGGACGTTTATTATTAGCCGCTGATGAGATCTTGTCATAAAGCGCATAAAGAGAAAAAATGGGAAGATATTAAATACTGTTCGTTGCAAAGAGGAAATTAATTGCTACACTTTGAAGACAAATTTCAAGAAAAATTTTACACAAGAGTGCCAAAGAATTATTTTTATGTAATACAACAATATAAATGAACAGGGAATAAAAAAAATAAATCGAGAGAGAGACAGAGAGAAAGAGATAAAAAACAAAGAGAAAATAAAAAAAGGGTAATGAAACAAATTAGTGTTAACTAATTAATATATTCTGATCTAATTATAAAACAATTCTACAAACGTTCCGACCTGTCATCTTTAATGCATGAGAAAAACTCACAAAATAAAAATAAAAATACGATAAATAATTAAAACTAGAATAAAAAAATACACATGTAAAATATGTAATATAAAATAAAAAAATAAAACTGATGGCATGTATAATGGTTACAATTTATCACGAAATTTGTCGAAATGTAAAACTGCAGAAACATAAAAATTGGCTTGCGCTCGGGCTTGCGCCATCGAAATTGCTCTGTCAAATCAACAATAGTCCGATACTAAAGGTCGGACGTCAATTTCATTTTCAATGCTATATGTATATACAATACACATACAAGTTTTCTTTCTCTTGCAAAATATGTTGCCATTGTAGGAAACGAAGTGTTCTGGAATTTTTGTTGACGTAATGAAGGAAATTCGTTCATTTCTTTCAAACCGTTTTTAAAGGCAATATGCATTACTGCTCCTTTTTTCTAATTAAGTTACGTTAAGTCTCTTTTGTTAATATTACTACAGAAATGTCAGATAGATGACTACTTGTTGCAAAGATTGTCGCCTATAATTTTCATTGAAAGATAATTAGATAAAACGAGATGCGGGAAGAGAGAGAGCCTGGAACATCTTCTATAGGCGATATCTTAACGATTATCGTTTCGCATGAGACAAGAACAAATGTTATGACTAGAATTATTATAGCTCCTCTATGTCGGAAATATATTTTCTGCAGAGAGAAACCCCAAAGGCATGAAACTTATTTAACTGTTTCCACAAGCAACTCACTTGCAGAATAGATCTTCACGCACGACATTGAATCAGTAGCGATATCATGTACTAACTATTCTTTAACTATACTCTTTATTTAAAAACGATAGCACATGCCTGAATTGCTCAATTATTCAATTCGTCACTCTTATTATTAAGTTTTGCACACTGGAAAAGCCGTATAGTGACGCTAAAACAGTGTCATATTTTAAATTAAAAAAACTAAAATAATGAGTTACAACAAATCCTATTAGGGAAAAGCTGTAAGATTTTAATACCTCCGTTTTAAGATCCTTTAAAGATTAAGCGACATTATTTTAGAAACCGTGAATAGATATCAGTATAAATGCTATATCACAGCATAGAGTAACATGGCTGATGAACAGTGCAGCCTTGTCATGACGTTATCAGCTGACTGTCATCATATTTATCGAGCTGATCAAGCGATACTTATTTGGCTTTCCTCGTCGAAGATTTCCTTCTTTTTTTTGGGAAGAGTAGCGGTGAGAAGACGTCGAGTAAGATCATATCTCATTTTCATGATGGTATCACGAAGCGTTTCCTGAATAGGCAGACAGAACCCGGAGCGGCCAAGAGCAACCGGCGGATGGATAGGACAGTGTGTCGCCGTTTTGCACGTTGAACCCAGTTCTTCTCCACGTGACCTGGCCACTGACCCACTTCTCCTGTTTCTCTCTCTCTCTCTGTCTTTCTCCCGACCCCCTACTCGCATTCGCTTCTGTCCTCCGTGCAGAAATGGTCCCCTTTCTTCGAACCGGGCTTCCGTCGAATGTTGTGTTGCCATCACCATAAACGACTTCCACTACGGACCGGCCACCACCACCGACCTTCGAAGACGCCGCTTATGACTTAACCATACGATTCCAGCAACACATGCCGTGACACAAGGTACGACGGCCAGACAGGTACCATCCCGTTTGTTAGCCGGATGGACGATCGCGCGGTACAGATCGGTGTGAGCTTGTAAGAGTCACAGAGATTTTCAAGTGCAATTTGTAGCTTTTCTCGCAAGAACAAATCCCGGTATCGCCAATGTTGTCTGACGATCGACGAATGTATTAACGCGCGCGATAAAAGAAGATCGAGACACACAAAGTCGTTGCACTGGTTCGAAATTCGATCGCGGACGTAGCAGACGGTTCATGTCGGTGAATCAACTGGCAAGACGAAAGCAAGTTCAGTGAAGAAGTGCGGAGGGAGTCAGTGATCTCTCGAAGGGGAAATCATCATGAAAGGGACGATGCGATTACGACATGGGCAAGATCGTGTTTCCTCTCTCGCGCGGAAGCAGACCCGAAGAGCGGACCCGTCGTCTGCCGGTATTAAAACAACGTATGAAACACGCTTTGAATCCTTTCGCAATTCCGTTGCGCTAGAAGTTGAATCAAACTTGATTCCAATACAAGTTTCAGCTCCTTTTGAAAAGATCTAGTAAATACGAATTTTTTGCAGCCACTAAATTCTGTTGTTGAATCATCTTTTGTTTGTAATAATTCGCATGGAATGTCCACATTAATTGACGTGATCGACAGAAACAATAACTCCGTTTATAATGACATAGTCTGTGAGAATGCTGTCACTGACACTAACGTAACGAAAAGTTTATGCGAAGATGTTGTAAACGTTGAAAATGTTAGTTCCCACATTTGTTCAAAATCAGACAAAAGAGAAAACTGTGATCCGTTATATTGTATACATGATAATATGATCGAGGATATAGATAATAATGAGACAATAGATAATGATATTTCAATTGCACAAACACCAAAAAAAAAAAAAGAAAATTTGATTTTTTGTCAGAGGCAGGTGTATCTTCAAAGGAAATGACGCCGCGTAAGAATCGAATGCACAAAGTTCATCGAAAAATAGCAAAAAAATGTATAAACTTAAAAGACAATTGCAGATCAAAACACTTTGAAACAATTAAAAGAGTGCTATAATCGCGGAGTTTTCAAATGCATAGAAAATCGATTCAATGAGGTAACGAAAAATTTCGTTACTTCATTGCTCTTACTTCACTGCCGACCGGCATTTAGGCTGTGCACGGGTTGATAAAATAAAGGGCAGGAACCAAGCTGGGATCGGTCGAAATGTGCAAGTAAATCCCAGCATTAATATTGGCTACGTTTACACCGAGAGACCTATACGCGGCCTGATCTATAATGTGGCCCAAAATAGATCTAGGCACCAACCATTTACACCGTAAGCGGCCTGAACACGAACTCCTTGAACTTTTCAAACATGACCCTTTAAACATTTTTAATTTTTTATTTACGAGATATGATATATGTTCATAACCAACGACATGACATATGCCAATTTGAGATTAACAAATGATGATAAGTCGACTTATGTATTTCAGGTTATAGATGGCCTATTTCAGATCAGGCCAAAAACCGAAGCCTGACCTACAGCCAAGTCAGATCATCTCTCAAATGTTTATAGCGAGGGATTTAAATAATTTAGGTCGAATTTGGAGTATAGGCTGCAGCCTAAATTCACGGTGTAAACGTAACCATTATATAGTAGTAATGCATGTCGTAACCACCGCGAGTGTGATGATTGACTTTGTTTCTTTTCATTTCACACAAAGAGCCAGATGTTAGATTTTTGTCCGTATTCATAGTAAGGCCTTATATTTAAGGCTTCCTTAAATTTATCTTCAGATGCTCTACGAATTATTTCATTGGCTACTGAGCATCTAAAGATAAATTTAAGGAAGCCTTAAGTACAAGGTCCGACTATGAATACAGGCACTTTGACTTGCGTTACCACTTGATAACACGTGGTGGGGGATAGCTATCAGCAACTACCCCCACTCTTCCCCCACCACGCGTTACCAAGTGGTAGCACAAGCCAGAATCTGGCACCACTGCACTGAGCTCGCATTTCTCTTTATATACATATATGTATGTTCTGTGACAGGTGCCAGCTGTGGCGAGCAGGTCGACCTCATCGACATATAGTACTGGACGGAGCATAGCATCGAAACCATCTTGACAGACTTAGAAAGAGATAGAACGATGTTTGGGTAATAGTGAATCATGTAATCAAGGGCCCTGAGACATTAAAAAAATGTCTCTCAGGATCCTTAGGAAAACTATAAGATTTATCATGTTTATAAATAATATAAATGTAATAGCGAATTCTATTGGACGCACTCAGTGTGCACTGGTGCACATTAAAGCCGTTGTATACAAAATAACGTAAATATATGTTTATAAATAAATACAGAAATCAATTAAATCGTGAAGTACTCTATGCATTTTATTGTACTATTAAGTAAAATATGTATTTCATAATTCGAAATATTTGCATTTCATTTTTATACTCAAATTAAATCAGTATACGACTTTAGTATGCACTAGTGCGCACACTAGTGTTTGCAATCGAATTCGCCATAACTATTGTTGATCTAACCTCGCTTTTCATATTCTGCACATAACTGTAAACATTAATTTTACTTATGAATGAGTTGGTACATCTGTGCTCAGAGGGTTAGTCGACTTTAGTATGCACTAGTGCGCACACTAGTGTTTGCAATCGAATTCGCCATAACTATTGTTGATCTAACCTCGCTTTTCATATTCTGCACATAACTGTAAACATTAATTTTACTTACGAATGAGTTGTACGAATGAGTACGATCTGTGCTCAGAGGGTTAATTTTACATAAAATACACATCGAAACCATATTTCTTAATTTTATTTTGTATCTAATATAATATCAATGTATAATTCCAATTTTAATGTGCACCACATTTACTGCGTTAATACCTCTGTGATGGTTGTGACTTTAAAGAATACACTATTATCCTCCCTCTCCTGAAACACAATTCGATCAATAGGACAATAGCAGAAAAAGAGTTCCGTGCCCTAACATTTACCTTACTCTTTCTAGGATCGTTAAGACGAAAGATCAAAGAGATTTCGCCGCATGCTCCATCCAGTACTATATGGTATATCGATAGCCGACGGCTGCCACTCTGAGAGGTATCTTCATCCCATCCACGGATTCTTGTCGTGAATCTGACTGTCGCACGCGACGTATGATATCTCGTGTTTGCCGAGCGGATGTCCCAAGATCGGTTGAAGGGCGTTCTCCAAAACCCGTGAAGATCACAGAGTCACAGATGAAACGGAGAGGCGCCGGGCGTGGGAGATACCACTCGATAGGCTTCGACCACGTGGCCGCAGCTGTTCACCGGGGATTTGCGATCGAGGGTGCGAGATCTGAGTCTGACTGACGTCAGGTGATCCAGGTGATCTCGTGGAGAACGTGCCGAGAACTTAATTTGACCATCGCATCATCAAGAGGAGATAATGCATCGCCATATAGTTTGACAACTTGAAAGAGTTTTGCAGCAACGTCACAAGCAGAAGCAACAGCAGCGATCTGTCGACCAGTGTTAGTCAAGGTACGCTTACGACTCCTTCTCAAGGTCCCGAGACCTATGAAGAAGCGTCATACTTTCTTGCGCGAGTGACCTTCATTAAAATTACAACGGTCAACGATCGGTGCTACCGTTTTTTGTAAGAGGGCAACGCACCTTCAGAGATAATTCATGATAATTAAACGATTTGATTGCGCGATTGGTGATTCCTGTACTGCCGTAGGATTCCTAGTCACAGTGGGTGCCGAACAGATGATTTCCTCTGTGTTGTGATCTCTTTTGACAGAGATTTATAATTTAGTTGGTTCAATAAAACCATCGTCAATATGTTCCAAAGAGTAAAAACCACTATGTGAAGCGATTTAGAGATTGAATAGAAAAGTAACGGTTTTTTAAATCGATCCCTCGTGAAATCTCGATTAAAGTAGCGGGCAGTAATCTATCACAATAACTATATATATATAGAGAGAGAGAGAGTTATATATACACTATATTTTCAGGGTAAATTTTAAGAGACAATTCTGTCCGTGTGTCTAATTACAAAAAGGATAAAAAATAAATTACATTATGCTCTGTGAAATAATTATCTGTGTCTGTAATTTAATTTTCGATCAGTTTTCAAAGAGTCAGACGGTGGACATATATATACCTGGTATCATGTTATATTTCAAATGTGTTGCACAGATAAACAAAAACGAGAAAGAGAGACTGTAAAAAATAAACATTAACAATAAATACTAATAATAAATACAATAGATAGTATGTTTCTCAAAATTATTATAAACAAAAAAAATATATGTAATCCAAATATTATTTTAATATGAAGAATTGTATTATTTTATTGTATTGTACAAAAGTATTCTTTCTTTTAATTTGAATAATTAACTTAACATTTCGTAATGTAACCATTGGAACTAATTGTAATTACAATTATAATTAGTATATTCTATTCGTTATTAATAAATTACTAATTAATGTTTACTCTTCTTGAAAATAAGATTTTTTTTAATGTATTTTTTTTGTACGAATACTTTTTACACTCACTATATATTTGCGGAATCACTCTTCGCTTCGAAATACATACACACATACATATATGCTTACTCTTATTTTGTATATATATATAATATAAGAAAGCAGGCAAGATGTACGTGAGATATATGGTTTGATTAATGCAAAAACCTTTACCTTGCCAAAACGTTTTTTCTATAAATAATATTTTGATTATTTCGAGAAAGGTAACGAGATTTTTGAGAATGGAAATCTCGCACAACACCGATTTAGAGAAATGAGGGAAAACAGAGTCGTCGCGGGGACATCGTCAGCTAGAAACGTAATACACTTCTCAACATATAATTTAAAATTTTTGACTTATTTTTGACTTTTTATTTTACAAAATTATATTTAATAAGTATCAATCTTCGTCATTCGCAACCTATTGAACAATAAGCAAATCCCAGAATAAGAGCCTCAGAAGAAAAAGATTAGCCTTTCTAGAAAGTAAATCTAATTTCTTCCGGTTTTGTGTATTTCAGATGTGCGACCGGCGGAAACAGGCCACCGTTATCATCGGCAATGTGTTGATCTATACCTATATTGTTACCGCCAGCCCGATCGATGTTCCTCAATTTCAACCGGGAAGTAAGTACTTTAGTTCGCCCTATTATTCGCGAAAAGAGTATCAATAGTCTTCTTCTAGAATCTAGATAGTATTGGTGCAGTTTGGAGAGTTTCTCTGCAGTAATACACGGTGTTAATAATCGTAATTAGATTAAATTGCTGTTATGCCATTTTACGGAAATTGCTTGATGTCTTCAGCATATCGATCTCCGATTATAAGTAGCTTTAATTTATAGATATAATCGTGAACGTAACCGAATTAACCGACCAAAACTCACCGCGTTCTTTCAAAATAACGTCTCTTATGAAGATCATTCATTGCAGACGATATTAAGACACTGCTTAAAGTTGCTGATCTATTAATATCTTTGAGATGCATCATATTTTATTATAGAACGAAAATCTCAACGTAAATATTGCAAACAGTATTTACCGATTTAAATTCGAAAAAATGCTTCTTGTATAAGAATTTCTTATAATAATTCTTTATAATAAAAGGAAATTATTTTCTATCAACATTTCTCCCAGTTTTTCTAGAATCAGCAAAATATATGCATATTTATCAATTAAAACGACGATCTAGTTGTGAAGAATGTTTATTCTTACAGACTGGCAACATATCTTTGTTCGTCCGGCTCTGTCACGCTTGTTGCATTTTCCTCGTATGTCAACTGAGTAACGGATCAGTACACAAATACCAGTAACCGGCACAGCGAGCTCCGATCTACGCGTGTGCGTAAGCGCTCGCCCGTCTCTGTCATGCAGCGGTGTATTGAACCTGCCTTGAATTCACATTCGAACGGAACGTGGACGAACTCAGTTTTCTGTAGAAGTCACAGGTTACTGGGTCATCCACGGTCATCGAGCCGATCGTGATTTACAGTGATTTTTCCATTCCCGTAGTCCCTCAATTTCGTCGATTTTCGTGTGATCGTTTCCATTGGGCGGCAGAAATCCATAAAATGATTATCCGCGAATCATTATCTTTCATACACGGAAAGAATTTCGTTGAAATATCTAAAAATGTAACTAGATACAAATCTAATTTTGTTAGGGCCACTGTCACCAAGCTCAGTTAACTTAACTGGCCAGTTAGTCCATCGGAATTTGCTTCAAACAAAATGACAAATGCGATTGGTCAATTCCGATGGACTAACTGGCCAGTTAAATTAACTGAGCTTGGTGACAGTGGCTCTTAGATCATCAAAATAATTAGGTATGTAGAACGCTCTTAAATTGATTGCTAAAACTTTTTACGGTGTTGCTCATGTTGAGCAACCTGCATGGTAATCCAAAGACATTTTCAAATCATATAATATTTGTACTTAAAGTTTTAGATACTTCAGCAAAACCGTTCTTTCCGTGTACTTTATTGTGTCCAATTAAAATGCTCATGCACATGCAATATAACATTTAACCTCTTCTTATATAAACCCAATTTTACGATATCATTTCTACAGCTACAACAATCGTTGTATGATAATACGGTGATATGGATCGTTTTCGACGACTGGATCTTCTGCCTTGCGATCACGCGAGACTTCTGTATCTCAGTGACATTTGTCACGATCAGATAAGGCACTTTCCTACAATGAGCTATGCCGCGAAAGAAATTCTTCGCATAGAGATAAATATAGTAGCTCGTGTGATCTCACAATTGATTCATGCAGGATTAAAAAAAAGAAAGGTTTTCATTAAAGCGCTTAATGACCAGCATGTAATATGTGTAAACACGCAGGAGCTTTGTAATTTTGTTGGATATATCGAGGGAGTAACCACTAGCTGAAATATTGTCCTACAGATTACATAATATCATATGATTTCATCTAATTACAAATCATTTTTTTTACTACATATGAAGTCATTTGATAAAATATACGATTTTATGTAATATTATACAATGATTTCTGCGTGGTTACATATGTATTTTATTGGATTATACATAGATTTTATGTGAATTTTATAATGATTTCGAGGCCTCTGTCCTACGATTACATTAAGTGGTTATCCCCTCGGATATATATAACTAGTGTTCTCTTAGTCCGAATAAATTCTCGGAAAATTTGGGAAAAAAATGAGTTTTTTCGGTTTTTTTCTTTGCTATATTTTTCCAGCCTTTTTTTCTTTAATATCGAGTGTTGAAAACAGAGAAAGCGAAGACGCTGAGTGCACAAAGTGTAAGCAAGGAGAACAGATCAAGTTTGTTCTTTTTTTATATTTCAGAACTGAACCTTCTGCACGAAAAATTTATCCTTTTGGCCTTTTCTTTCAAATATAAAAAGAAGCAGAGGATTGATAAAAAAGTGTAAAAAGTTTAATGTAAGAATATGGAAAAAAATTTTCTTATGAGGATGTTATGGTTATTACATACTTATTGCTGTGCTGTACGACAAAGTTTGCATTATGTTCGTAAATGTCGTAATCATATCAATCGTACGTTTCGTATCTTCGTATTCGTTCGTATTGTTCGTAATTCGTATCAATCGTATCATTGTATTTGAAATTTGAGACAAATGTTCTATTTTTTTATAAATAAAATAATTTTTTTAAATAATTTAAAGCAATATTCTATCATTAAATTCAAATATAGGCGAAAAAGAACCTATTAAAAGAATATTTTTTTGAAAAAAATGGAAAAAATTTAGTTTTTTTCCTCGATTTTATTTTTTTGGAAAATTAAGAACTCTATGTATAATCATTGTCATATTAAACTAAATCATTGAATAAAAATTTTCATTTTATTAACAAAATCACGATACGCAAAGTTTTCATTTCCTTTATAGAAAACTACTGTAAACACGACGATCAGAACAACCACCGCTGGACAATCAACAAAAATAACAGACTAAAAATCAACAAACTGGCCACGACTAAACCATCATCGTCGACTATAACGAAGCTGAAACCTACTAAGATCACTAGTACGACAACGAAGACCACTAGATCTGAATACACTAGTACCATGACGACCACGAAGGGAACGAAGCCATTATCGTAAACTGTCTGTTCAACAGTTAGCGTTACGAGACCAAGATCCAGCACGACAAAATCAACATCCTTGACGAAGCTTCCCGTGAACACGTCCAGTATCGTGGAGATTACCACAAGCATCTCGAGTTCGATATCCACGTTTACCGTTAGAAACGAGAACACCTCGACCCACGTACCTTCTACCAAAGATCAGAATGTTAATCACACCCTCGAGGAGATCCCGTTGACTACTTACTCGCCAGGATTAGTAACGTGGAGTTCCAACTCTGATGAAGTTTTTACAAAGGCGTCCATCAAAACGATTTCATCAACATCAACATCAATGTCAACGCCAACGTCAACCTCAACGTTAACGTCTACATCAATGGTAGCTACATCGTCAGATGAATAAAGTTAATTACTTTCTAGTTTTTCTTTTTATCAGAATATAATAACTTTATCAATTACAATTGATAAAGTTACAATACTCAACAGCTTATTTTAACTATTATATTTAACTGTAATATTAATTGTAATGTATTAATTATTTTCGACATTGATTCTCATCACTTTCAAACCAGAAAAATTTTTTATTTTTAATGATTAATATCGTCAATCTAAAACGAAAGGCAAAAGCAAAAGACATTAAATTTACATAGCAATCCGTTAACAGGATTTCGCTATTTCCAGTTTTGATGCACACAGCGTGCCATGCCATACAACGTGAATCGCTATTATAATTTTCTACTGACGACAAGGGCGTCGCGTTATACAATGAAATAAACGTTCATTTTCTTTGATTTCACCGATTAGCATACAAGCATAGAACGAATAAGACTGCTAATCACGTTTCCTGTAATTCCTCGAAGGGTCGCTCGATGCTGACGAATGGAGCATATGTAAGATTTGTGACTGCTCATTGCCAAGTGTAAAGTAACATTAATGCTCCACCAAAATTTGCTTTCAAATAAAAAAATGAAATATATAAACTAAAATAATATTGCTTTTCGTATATATTCGTTCTTTGCCTTTTTCAATATTTATTTGTAAATTTATATTTTTTTATTTTTAATTTTCATATCATGCCACTATTCAAAAGGATATTGTCCATTGTTTCCAAAATATATTATACAATCCAGGTCGAAAGTTTGGAAACATTTTAAAAAATTGATATTTTTAGGATTACTCAAATATCCATAATAATGTATTTTTTTAACAATAATTCTTCAGATTCAATAAAATATTGAATCTAAAAAATTATTTAAAAAATAAACTATTATTATTTATTTAAAAAACACATTAAGAGATATATTATAACTCTTTAAACAATATAATTGCACCTCAATGCATACGGCGCAAAGTGAAATATGTTGAGTTACAAAAGTAGGTAATCCATCTCATATTTTATGTTCATTCGACAAGCGGTTACCTTATTCTACTCAAATGAACCGAGTTCATCGTGGATGCAAGACAAGGTCGTTCCCGGGACCCTAGAAAAGATAGCCAAGTAGAGATGTTATTATATCAATAGCGCAGCACTCTGACACGTCGTCGGGATAGAATGTCATAATGTTGTAACGGTTCACAAACCGGCCATCCCAGGCTTTTCGCCGACGCAATTACAGTCATCTCTCCTTTGTGTATTTCCATCCATTTCGTTGAGCGGCAAGACTTCAAATTATCTTCTAATAACTATGGCTACGTTTACACCGTGCGTTTAGTCCGCGACCTATATGATAGATGTCTTTGTTTAACCTACAGGATAAACAAGGACATCTATTGTAGGTATAGGCTGCGGCCTAAATGCACGGTGTAAACGTAGCCTATGATTCACTTCGCTACCTTAAAAGAGAAAAAACAGAACTCGCACAACTAACTCAAATTGAAGAATTAAACCGGTTCGCATCGCCTTGAATTAGCATAATAAATCTGCTTGAAACTAACATTTTCTGAGAAACGCAGGTCCACGAACTTGAAGAAAACATTCTTCTGATTTTTTTCACATACATCCTATGTGTAAATGAGCTTTTACCTTTAATTTTGGAGTTAATTTATTTTAACATAAATATGCACTGTCAGTTTTATTTGATATACCACTTTGTCCAGTTCATTTTTTAATACTTTCTCTCACACTTTGCTCTACGTCTTCATATTATTAATTTTTGTTATCAAAATCATGTTTTTTGTCATTGCAATTAAATATATTCGATTTGCACACTTATCGAAACGTCATGCTTTTACTTAGTTACTACGATTAATAAATAATTTGTAAATATTACACACTGATATCCGAGTTGGCTCATATCTGCTTTTCTTTTCCATTTAATTTTGATTTAATTTATTTTCTCAACAAATTATAGCTATTACGATAAGTTATCTATCCCTGATTCCCTTAAAAGAAAAGAATCGTAACTTCTAGTAAATTTGCGATTAATTAAAATACGATTAGGTTTTATATTTATTATGTTTGTTCGTTTCGCAGAACAAGCGGAAACTGATTGGTCGCCGATAACAAATCCGGATGGCTGGATAATGATTCAGTCGCTTACCACCACAAAGTTATCGGAGACTCAAGAATCGTTGACCGGATCGGAATCCCCTATCCAGTCTTTGATTTCTGGTAAGATATATTAATTGTAGCTTTTGTGAACACTCTGCGGTGAACACACTTTGCGAATTTGCTCGCGATGAAAGAACTTTCAAGAATTGGCAAACGCAATCATGCAAATGGGCAACTGGAACAACAACTTGGAAGGAATATCTTCTAACAAGTCTAAATAATAAAAAATCAATTAGAAGTTCTTATTAAATTTTAGTATTGCAACAACACTGTACTTCAGAATTCCCTTCTATTGAAGCTTCTTGCAACAACACATTCAATTGTATATAAATACAATGCAATTTCAATTTTATATAAATTTTATATAAAAAATTGTGTCGCTTTTTATTTTGTGCGAAATGTAATCAATGCTTAATTAATTAATCTTATATTATACTTCTCGGATTTCCAGCCAAACCGATAACAGAGAGCAGTATCATCTCCGACATCGTAAAAAGACCAACTGTGACAACTTTATTATCAACGATTGCCAGTGTTACGATTGACATAGAACTTTCGATACCAATGGAGACCCTCAATATGTCGGACTACAAACAAGGTCATTACTGTTGAACGGATTACGGTGTAATATTATGACGTGCGCTTAACGTGAACGAGCGGGTGTCTGAATAAAAGAAATTAGATCGTTTCCAGACTGAGTGACCGGAACGAATCATTACTCGACTAGAACTAGTCTCAGGACTAAAAACAAAATGATAGATGAAATGCGGAACTGGATTTAGGTTACTGTCGGAATTCACGTTATTTCGTTCGATTTTGCCCCAGTTAAATCCTGAAGATGATCCAACTTTTGATCGTATAACGATGCTTTCAACTTTCTTTCATCTTATCTTATCGGATTACCACAAGTTTAATATTAATTAAACTTCTCGTTTGACAAGGTAGACGTTTCTATTAATTCTAACACAGATTCGCATATGTACATTTTACATGTAAAAAACAATTCTAAGCATAGAAAAAGAATAATCGAATAATAAGAAAATAGAAAAATCTAAGTATAGAAAAAGATTTACCTAACAGGTGAACTTTATCAAAAGATGGAACAGTCGGCCCTAAGTCTTTTACACGCCCTATAGTATAATCATTTTATGTAGATTATAATTTATGATGGCACTACTTATTACAGTGATAAATCGATTCAATTCACAATAATTTCATTAATATTAACAGTAAAAAGCTGAAATCATAACACAATACTAATATAATTGCAAATGGAGTGTTAATATTTACATGTTAATTAGTAAAAAACAGTCGACTGTTTTAGATGAAATACTTTTATTAAACTACAAGATAAATTATTGTCACCACGTAGATGCCTAAAAATATAATTATCTATTTTTGCAGAGGGATCATTGACATCCGTGTTACAGGAAGTTGCAGTACCGGTTATCAATAATACCGTATGTGAAGTGATGTACAAAAACGCGGATTACAAAAATCACATTCCACATATATTTATCTGCGCCGGTTGGAGGAACGACAGATTCGACTACTGCGAGGTGTTTTTGCTGGCGATTTTATACAAACGAAAAAAATCGTCGTTCGTACCATTTCAATTTTTTCGAGATTGAAAATAACAATTAAAAAGTATTATCCGTATAATTTACATCTTTCGATAATATAATTCTGATAATCATGTATGACTATGTTATAGTAAAAATATTTTTTTAAATCTTTAGAAAATAAAAATATCTTATAGATAACTTTCAGATGCCTTTCGAACATTATAATTGCTTAGAATTATTATTAATATAAAAATTTATAGCAATAATATTCTGTAATGTTATTGTTACAAGTTTTTATATCAATAATAATAAATTTTTAGATAACTATTATGTTCCCTTACAACAATTTAATACTGGAAGATAGTTATTAATTACTTATTTTGAGTATTAAAAGAACTACACTGAAAAAAAAGATTGGTTGCTGCAGCAAATTAGATAGTAAAATGCTATGCCATATTTTACCATCTAATTTGCTGCAGCAGCCAATCTTTTTTTCAGTGTACTGTTCAGTAATTTTCAGTATTAAATTGGTTTTCTGTAAGAATTCAAAAGGCAAAAGTTATGTATAAGAATTATCTGAAAGTTATTGATAAGACGTTTCAATCTTTTAAAGATATTTTTAAATATTTTTACTATGTTTAATAATATATAAGAATTACATATATTATATCAAAAGACATATCTCTTGATATTCTAACTTTTATCTTTTTCAGGGTGATAGCGGTGGTCCGATGGTCATTCAAAGAGAGCGTGATAAACGATGGATTTTTACTGGAATCGTCAGCTGGGGAATCGATTGCGCTGTACCTAATCAACCCGGCGTTTACACGCGTATCTCGGAATTTCGCGACTGGATCAATCAGATCGTGCAGTTCTGAGCGTCTCAGAAAGAGCGTGATTTGCGCTCGAAATTCGCGCTTTTGCATCGCGCCGACTCCTATGAACGTGTAATGATCGTCAAGCGGACGAACGGCACCATCTGTCGGAGCTGTGAGCCAAGTGCAATTTAGTGGAAAAATCTAAGAGATCCCAGCGCGGGGATTCACAAAGATTTGTGCGCGTGTTGCGAACTCGAACGACATGTGGAGCCACTGATTCAATATTTCTGTGTGAAGTCGCAACGTATGCATATACATACACTCGATTTCCCAGAAAAATCCGACATGTTACAACGATATAAAGGGTATCGATTTGCGTATCGGAGACACTGTGGTGTCCATATCAGTGATAAGCACATCAGACTTTGTGACAAGAGTCGAAATTTTCGATCAACTTAGATTGACTCCTTTATTTAGAATCGATTTAAGATAGTTAATTTCAAGACATATGTGATAATTAATGGATTTACAAAAGAAATGTTAGATCTGTTATTAATTTAATCTGTTATTAAAAATGAAAAATATTTTTTTATTGAATCTTCACTTAATAATTTCCGGAAATAATTGTCCTCTCTTCAATTTGAAATAAATTTAATTAAAATAATGTTAATTAAAATAATTTAAAATATAATATATTTAATTCAATATATAAAAATTATTTCTAGGTAATTTAATTTGAATTAACTCGAAATTATTGTTCAGTATTTAGAAAAATGTTTGCAATTTAATATTTTGTATATCTTCTGATCTACCATTGAAAGCGATTAATCGTGAAGCTACTGTGATTCAGAATTTACATGTTTTCTATGTTTTACATTTAAAAAAATATAGTAGAATAAGCTTTTCAATTACAGTGCGCGCAAAAATTGTCTATATAAATATTGTTACGCAGTACAACAAACATTCTACGGTATCGTCAACAAATATTTGAGCAAAAATACAGTCAAGTGAATATAATTTATAAAAATCCATATTTTTTGTAAGTTTTCCAATTTTTATTTATGAGTGAAAAAACTGTTAACTTTTTCATCAGAGAAGCTCTCTGAATATCTTTTAGATACATAAATGGCAAGATTTATATGAATCCATCCGTATACAACGCTAGTTTATATAAATTTCTGTTTACACCTAGACAGTCTCAAATATATATACAGCCGGGCGTAGAATAAATATCCCAAAATTACTGAATGAAAAAAGATCGATTTTAAATTTCTCTGCGAAATTAATATATTCTATTATTTTATCAGTGATAAGTATATTAGACTTTGTTGTAACAAAGGATCGAAATTTTCGGTTAATTTTTTAATTCTTTATTTAGAATCGATTTAAAATAGTTCTTCTTCTTCTTCTTCTTCTTCTTAGATTTCTGGCCTGTGTTACACCTCTCTCATATGCTTGTGGTGCGCATGTTGATTATTCAATTACCACGAGTATTGCACGGGATCTACAGTTTTAATGCCGGTTCCGAACGGCGGATTTTTCAAGAGGTGTTTCTGGGCAAGGATATTCTCGAGGTTGCCAACCTTTTCCGAGAGGAGACACGAGAGTAAATATTTTTGATTCCTACTTGAGATCGAATCCAGGGCCTTTGGCATGATAAATCAGTGCGCTGTCTGCCATGCCACGCTCGTGCTCTTTTAAAATAGTTAATAAAATAAAACTTTTTTTTTTAAATAAATTATTACTTCAACCTTTAATTGATCACGATTGGTCACGATTGGCCGCGATTCCAAGTTATTTTATTTAACAACGTATTTTCGCGCGACAAATTAAAGATTAAATAAAAAAATTGGATAATTGAATAAAACGAATAATCAATATGCGAACCATGTTATCAATTGTTTACGAAAAGATTCGTTATCAATATCTGCGATAATCGAGTTGCAGTTGTTACTGTGATTTGATATTCCGTACCGACGTCAATCACATACAGTTCCGTTCATTACAAATTTACGTAGTAATTTCCAGGGAATTCCAATGGAAATTTCAGTGCATTCTTCAAAGCTCATGAATATCCAGTTATCCCGATTGATCTTGGGAAGAAATAAAGGGAAATTCTGCGCTCGACTTCATAAATTCTATATCTCTTTCTCTTCCTTTTTTTGCAGACACTTCACTTCGTAGTTACTTGAATATAGTCTCAAGTGAAAATGAATTGACAATGCGCTAAAAACGTGCTCATTAATCTCAATGGCTCGTTTTGTCAGCCAACAAGCAACTCATTACATACATTTTAATATAAAGAATATATTTTTTGTAAATTGCGAGTTAAATTGAATCGAATTGGAAAAATCAAAAAGACAAATTCATTTATAGTACCGCGGAGATACATGTACCGAGATAGGGTACAGCGGGATAATTTGAATAGTGGGGAAATTTGGATAATAGTAAGGGTTTGCAAGAATTTCAAAAAAATTTGAAACGCCATGTTTTATATTTGGGGTTAGTAGCGAAGAAGATACTGTAGTCTACATATTCATGTAGGTTTGAAAAGATATGTATCTGTGGAGAGTGTGTTTTATATTAAGCAAGATAAGTAAAGAATTTCAGTT